TGACAAAATTACGTATCAGGTATCATATCTCCAACTCACCTTCTACAAACTGATTCATATCCTTTTTTATTTTAATTTGACTGTTGTTGTTTTTATCATTTCTGACACGACAGGTGTGCCGTAATTACTCAACAAACACAGTTGAATGCGATTGCAACCTATTCACGCATAACGAGTATCTTTGTCGTCACGCGTTCAAGGTACTGATAAACGACGAAGTTGAATCCATTCTGGAAAAATACGTATTACGTCGTTGGAAACGACAGTTAGTTCCAGTGCAGATACAATCCGCAAGAGTGCGTTATGGTGAGCTTGATGCCGAAAAAGAGGAGTGTATAATTGATGTATATTCCAAAGTCGACGACATAGTAAGCATCGCACGTAATGATAAATCTATATTAGCTAGACTGGGGCGTAACCTCGATATATTCATGGGTGATATAGAGAAGGAAGTTCCATACGAAAACCCATCACAACAAAAGCTGGATGCAATTAGAGATCATCTAGGTGTCTCCATACCTGATGAGGTGGACATCCTACCACCGTCTGGAATAAGGAACAAGGGTTGTGGCACTGGCAAGAGGCTGGTAAGTGTGTCCGAAAAAATACAAAATAACAGCAAAAAAGCAAAACGAAAATGTGCAACGTGTGGACAACGTAGTGGCCACGACTCACGTAATTGCCCAGAATTGATAGAGTAGTTAGCATTCAATTACATATTTTTTAGGATCGTTTCCGTTGCTTAGTTGTTGCTGTCTGACTGACGTATGTTCGTGCGACGTCGTTGCCTTGTAGTTTAGATTTTGGTTTGTTTGTTTGTATTCACAATATTGGTTATGCCGTTTAGTTTTTTTAATGTCATGCGCCGTTAAGGATGTTTATTCAAACTATTAGTTATGACGTTTAGTTTTTTTTTAGATGTCATGCGCCGTTAAGGATGTGTTTTCTCTTTAATATCACATTATGTTCCAACCATGTATGTGACACCGTGTATAACATATACACTTTCAATAACTTTTCGAGATGAAAGTTTATACAGTTTAATGTTTGAGCACCTACTATAATGCCACATGTAGACAGAGTTTAACAATAATTGTATTTTTGATACAGTAACATGTAACTAACAGTAAGAAGATATTTTGTTGTTTGGATTAAGTCATACATGGATTAAGATATCGGTATTGGTGTACCAATACATAAACAACCATACCCTAAGTCGGTTAACAGTTTGGGCATTTGGTATAATCACCAAATAACTCACTAAATCCACATAACTAATCACATTATCAAAACGTACACCCGTATCAACTGTCTAAACTTTTCCATGTATCACCTCGGGCTGGCGGAAAAGATAGGATAACTTCAATTTTAGGTAGAATTTCACACCTGATATCAATCCCTGCATCAAAAGTAATTGACCAAATATACCAACAGAAAACCATCTTATGTAGATGTTCTACAGGCTATAAGATTCATCAGGGTGTTCAAAAGACATACTTCATTTATAAAAAAAGGTTATGCAGTTTCATGTCCCAAAACTGTTGCCCTAACATAACTGAACTAGAGGATAAAGTTCAAAATAAAAACTAGAAATATTATAATGTCAACACCAACTACAAATTCTTTCTACCCTTTCCCCCGACCTTTATGTGTATCACCATGCTTCTTCTTTGCATTGTATGACGTCTCCATTGCGATGAATCGATGAACATCTTTTATGACTGCACTCTTTCTGATGTTCTCCTCATTGAGTATGAGTTTGGAGTAGTACTTGGTCCGCAAATCCTTGAGTTGCCTCTTTTGCTTCGTGCTCTCCTTATACAGACCACAATCCCATTTCCCAATGTCACTTCCAAAAAAGGTCTCCATATGCCGCATGAGCATTGCACCACAGTCGATCGATCCTTCACGGGACTGCCACCTGGTTCGGATCTTTTCCTGGTCCGTTTTTGCATATATTTTCCCAGCCTCATGTCCCTCTCTCATTAGATGCATAATCAGCATGTCTTGCTGAATAAATCATAAATAAAAATAGTTAGATACGGTGCATATTGTGCATCCAGACTCTAAGACCAATAATAAAGTATACTAACCAAAGATATAGTAATAGATCCATAGATATCTTCAATCGTGCCATCACGATCCGTGGAGTCAACAATCATGATTGATGGGTGTTTTAGATCAAACACTACCATGTAATAGTACGCATCTTCTACGATCGGGAAAAATATTTGTATAATGATTATGGAACCTAGTTGTTAGTATTTAAATACGCATTCAGGTATTGTACAATTATCTTCATACCAAAACGTGATACGTACCATGTCAACATTACGCATACCGATCAACCCTTTGTCATTTAGTGTGTAGCTTGATATGATATTTTTGAAAATATGGTACCTTTGGTGCACATCCAAAGATTGATCTCTCATGATCGGATTCATCTGCGAACAACACAAGGTAGTTAGTTTCACTTAACAAAGACGTGCGTTCTTTGTAGATTTTACATAAGAGGTATTAACATAACTTTACAATTCAACTACGCAAAGGTGTTTTGGTTCATTGCTGATCATCTGTATAGAAAATGGACCATATATTCCATTTGCTATTGTTTCGGCTGTTCCAGCAACAGCTACGACTGCCGCGATTCCTGAACGGCAGATTCAAAAGCTTCCACATCAGTGGAGTGATGAGGACAATAAGAAAATGGCTATAGAAACGCGTGCTCGGTCTATAATAGCTATGTCTCTTCCTGATGAGATTTATCACTCTGTGATGAAACTCAAATCTTCTAAATCCGTATGGGATTACTCTATGTGTCCAGTATGAAGGAACCACTCAGGTTCAGGAGACTAGAAAGATCAATCTAGTAAGACANNAAGAGAATGTACGCGCGCATCTCTCTGCTAACCTATTCTTTCTTCAAGCCTCTCCTTGCTTAAGTAAAAGATCTTTATTTTCTAGCATTATTTTTTCTTCTATTTGCTAAAGATCTGTGTGTAACCAAAGGTTGTTTAGATAGGATTTTTTTTACCTTATCTTTCCGTAAACAATCTTGTAAAATCTGTATTGATCTTCTCTATCAATATATATTATAAATTTGAAAACTCTGTGTTTGTATTCATCCCCCCCTTCTATAAACTGTGTCTTATCTTGTAGACCCTTTCGGGACCAACATAAGGCTGTTTGGTTTTGTAATATTGAGACCGTCGAATGTCGTGATGAGTTAAACTCATTCGTGATAAGCCACAAGACCAAGAAATCATCTGACAAAATTACGTATCAGGTATCATATCTCCAACTCACCTTCTACAAACTGATTCATATCCTTTTTATTTTAATTTGACTGTTGTTGTTTTTACCATTTCTGACACGACAGGTGTGCCGTAATTACTCAACAAACACAGTTGAATGCGATTGCAACCTATTCACGCATAACGGGTATCTTTGTCGTCAAGCATTCAAGGTACTGATAAACGACGAAGTTGAATCCATTCTGGAAAAATACGTATTACGTCGTTGGAAACAACAGTTAGTTCCAGTGCAGATACAATCCGCAAGAGTGCGTTATGGTGAGCTTGATGCCGAAAAAGAGGAGTGTATAATTGATGTATATTCCAAAGTCGACGACATAGTAAGCATCACACGTAATAATAAATCTATATTAGCTAGACTGGGGCGTAACCTCGATAAATTCATGGGTGATATAGAGAAGGAAGTTACATACGAAGACCCATCACATAAAAAGCTGGATGCGATTAGAGATCATCTAGGTGTCTCCATACCTGATGAGGTGGACATCCTACCACCGTCTGGAATAAGGAACAAGGGTTGTGGCACTGGCAAGAGGATGGTAAGTGTGTCCGAAAAAAATACAAAATAACAGCAAAAAAGTAAAATGAAAATGTGCAATGTGTGGACAACGTAGTGGCCACGACTAACGTAATTGCCCAGAATTGATAGAGTAGTTAGCATTCAATTACATATTTTTTAGGATCGTTTCCGTTGCTTAGTTGTTGCTGTCTGACTGACGTATGTTCGTGCGACGTCGTTGCCTTGTAGTTTAGATTTTGGTTTGTTTGTTTKTATTCACAATATTGGTTATGCCGTTTAGTTTTTTTAATGTCATGCGCCGTTAAGGATGTTTATTCAAACTATTAGTTATGACGTTTAGTTTTTTTTAGATGTCATGCGCCGTTAAGGATGTGTTTTCTCTTTAATATCACATTATGTTCCAACCATGTATGTGACACCGTGTATAACATATACACTTTCAATAACTTTTCGAGATGAAAGTTTATACAGTTAAATGTTTGAGCACCTACTATATTGCCACATGTAGACAGAGTTTAACAATAATTGTATTTTTGATACAGTAACATGTAACTAACAGTAAGGGGATATTTAGTTGTTTGGATTAAGTCATACATGGATTAAGCTATCGGTATTGGTGTACAAATACATAAACAACCATACCCTAAGTCGGTTAACAGTTTTGGCATTTGGTATAATCACCAAATAACTCACTAAATCCACATAACTAATCACATTATCAAAAAGTACACCCGTATCAACTGTCTAAACTTTTCCATGTATCACCTCGGGCTGGCGGAAAAGATAGGATAGCTTCAATTTTAGGTAGAATTTCACACCTGATATCAATCCCTGCATCAAAAGTAATTGACCAAATATACCAATAGAAAACCATCTTATGTAGATGTTCTACAGGTTATAAGATTCATCAGGGTGTTCAAAAGACATACTTCATTTAATAAAAAAGTTATGCAGTTTCATGTCCCAAAACTGTTGCCCTAACATAACTGAGCTAGAGGATAAAGTTCAAAATAAAAACTAGAAATATTAAAATGTCAACACCAACTACAAATTCCTTCTACCCTTTCCCCCGACCTTTATGTGTATCACCATGCTTCTTCTTCGCATTGTATGACGTCTCCATTGCGATGAATCGATGAACATCTTTTATGACTGCACTCTTTCTGATGTTCTCCTCATTGAGTATGAGTTTGGAGCAGTACTTGGTCCGCAAATCCTTGAGTTGCCTCTTTTGCTTCGTGCTCTCCTTATACATACCACAATCCCATTTCCCAAGGTCACTTCCAAAAAAGGTCTCCATATGCCGCATGAGCGTTACACCACAGTCGATCGATCCTTCACGGGACTGCCACCTGGTTCGGATCTTTTCCTAGTCCCTTTTTGCATATATTTTCCCAGCCTCATGTCCCTCTCTCATTAGATGCATAATCAGCATGTCTTGCTGAATAAATCATAAATAAAAATAGTTAGATATGGTGTATAAATTGCATCCAGACTCTAAGACCAATAATAAAGTATACTAACCAAAGATATAGTAATAGATCCATAGATATCTTCAATCGTGCCATCACGATCCGTGGAGTCAACAATCATGATTGATGGGTGTTTTAGATCAGACACTACCATGTAATAGTACGCATCTTCTACGATCAGGAAAAATATCTGTATAATGATTATGGAACCTAGTTGTTAGTATTTAAATACGCGTTCAGGTATTGTACAATTATCTTCATACCAAAACGTGATACGTACCATGTCAACATTACGCATACCAATCAGCCCTTTGTCATTTAGTGTGTAGCTTGATATGATATTTTTGAAAATATGGTACCTTTGGTGCACATCCAAAGATTGATCTCTCATGATTGGATCCATCTGCGAACAACATAAGGTAGTTAGTTTCACTTAACAAAGACGTGCGTTCTTTGTAGATTTTACATAAGAGGTATTAACATATCAAACTTTACAATTCAACTACGCAAAGGTGTTTTGGTTCATTGCTGATCATCTGTATGAACACGCGGCATAACTGAAAGGTTGACGCGCATGAACAGTTCCATTACATGTCATGAGATAATAAGACCAAAGGCCACACACAACATACTAACAACCAAAGTAAGCAGAATGTGTTCATAAATGCACAACAACATCACATGAATAAAATCATAATTTCGGTCAGTATGCCATGTCTGTGTTCATATCCCGACATGTGAACCAGTAGCTCAGATGAATATATGATCCGGCTCGGTCATGTATGCATAACAGTTATAGGAAGTCTATGAAGACGTATGTTCACAAGGTCGACCTATATTTTGCGTTAAAATAACAACTGACCAGTATCTGTTATTGTTGTGAATACTGATCCCATATTACTTATATCGTTGGTCTTGTGCTTGTTGCGAATAGTACTCCATCACAGTTTAAAACCGGATAGGTGTGTGTACGATCCTCACGTCGTATATCTCATATTTCGGGCGATAGGTGCATCACCCACTAGAGTTTAACCTAAATCACAGAGCCCGATCATGTTCTCATGCGTATCGATACGAACAAGTTCATCACCCAATGTTCAGTATCTGTGGTAACTGTGAACAAGGTAATTCGTATATGTTCAGCTGTATGTAACCTCGGTGGACATATGAACAACTAATCGCATGAATGAACACAAAAGTGAACATTGGGTCGTGTAAACTATAGTTAATGAACGTAATGATCACACATTGGTTCATATCAATACTAATGAACCAATGTTGTTCAGTTGGTCAGGCTCAATGTGTTAATGTGCTTAGGCCCTGTGTGGTGATATGATTAGGCCATATGTCTCATGTGAACTACGTGTGCATATGTCTCATGTGATATCCATGTGACTATGTATAATGTGAACTTCCCGTGCATATGTATCGGTTACGTGACCTGCTGTCACGCTATATCCCTTCATGAAATCGAGAAAGATGTTCATTGCGTTGAACTATAGGTTCACTATGACTCGACCGTACGTGAATCTACATGTCGACATCCAATAACAAAGTAGACATTTACACTATAAAATGTAAGCACCTACAATGCTAATTATAACAGCTGTTACTTTGATATTGCACATTGATTTGATCATATACATTTTGTCATTTGAATAAGAAACTTGGGTAGTATGTAAAGTTACCGCAACGTATGTCAGATAGAAAAGGCGGTGTGGAAATTCATGGCTCCTTAATCTTTCTTCCCTGTTGAGGACTGTTGACCATGCGTCCAAAACATCTTTGCAAACCTGGGACTAGGATGCAAGTGATTGCATTGTTTTCCGTGTAACAATTAGTCCATTTGGTGATGAGAAGACTGGCTCACTGCATAGTTACAATCATAATATTAGGTCATCGAGTAATAAAAAATGTATTTGTTATAACAAAATATTAAAACATTTCAATGATGTGACTTACATAATTCCACCGATCCCTCACATTACCCACTCTTGTAGCTTACGTTCATCATTAGTTACGTGAAACGTAACAGCCCGTGAAACATAAGGTGATCGTAGCTTAAAACTAAGCTTTGGATCCCTCCTTGCCCGTGTACTATCCACAACCGGAACGACTTGTTTATCGCATAGGCTTAACCCCAGATCAAACGATGGTGGATGATGTCACCATAAGCAACAAGTTGTTGTCCACTACTTCCTTGCATACACTTAACTGCTCCTTCATCGCCTCTCTTACACATCTTTCGTGACTGACTTTCAGACTGCTCAATAGTCCTATTTCGGACACTTCCAACTTTGTCCTCATGTGAGATGAATGATGGCCTCTTTAACTGTACTGTATGATCAGCCTGCTTACTCGACCGTATATTATATCTCGTGTGATGCGCCGACTTCTCATTTGAAGCCCTATCAACCTCAGCGATCACTGTCGGACTTGTCCAGAACTGAGATAACGGGGACAATAAATCAGCATCCGATATGGTTGCCACCTTCGCAGGTGTTACTTCAACAATAGCCAACGTCGGCACGTGACCAGACGTTGGTGGTGTAGCATCTGCAGTGGGTGGCTGTGACTGCTCGTAGACTGTTGGCTCTGTTGGTTGGTTGTACCATTGGCTCCCTTTAAGTACTTGTGACAACTTATACTTGAATTCTTCAATCTCAACGTCCCCGAGAAAGCGGTCAATAAGCGACTATAGATGCAAATCTGCCTCATCTCTTGCGGTAGACAACTCATGAATCTTATTCCACATACTCTTAACGCATTCCTGAAGAGAGAAAATGTCAAACTCTTAAAAAGCAAACAAATATACCATATGTACTAAAAATGTTAACATCTACTTCGTGCGTTTATGTAACACCCTAAATACTTACAAGAAGCAATAATAAATAGCTAAAACAAAAGAAATAAAAATTCC